AATAGCAATAATATGTATTTACTTTGTAAAGTACATAAAAGATTAAAATTCTTAATATTGTGCCTGCTCACAGTAGGTATTCAAAAATAGTAGCTGTTTTTAATTTTATTATTAATAATTATTTTTTAATCATCAGTTCATTTCTATTATTTTGATTATTGGTGTGATTCAATTAGTTAAAAACTGGTATACCAACTAAATGGCAGCTCTTCTGGAAATTTAAAAAGGAAAGACTTTTTTTGGTGGGAGCTCCATTATTTCTTGAATAAGTTATATTTGTTATTATTTTGCCTGGTAAGAATAAAAAAGAAAAATAAGAATAGCATTTATTTTTATTGTGTTCTTACTATGGAGCAATCATTTTATATATAATAAATTTTTATTTTCCACAGAAGTCCTCTGAAGTAGGTGCTATTATCATCATTCATGTTTAATCGATGAATCAACTGTGACTAAGGAAGGTTAATTTATCTAAGATTATAAAACAAGTAAATGGTAAAGCTGCGGTTTGAGTCCCTGTCTGACTTTCTCCACAACAAAGCCCTTGATCTTCAGTACAGCACAAGCATATCTGAAACTTTAGTAGGGTATGAAACTCTTTTAAAGGAAAAAATTTTGCTGGATTACTTCTTTCAGATTTTTACTGTTTTTGTTATAACATTATTTAAGCATATATGCACAATGAAACAGGTATAAACTCCCTTTCAAATAGCTCTTATCCAACTATAGAATGAAATGAGAGCACAATTCAAATGCAAACAGAATTAGAAAATTGATCAAATTTAACTAAAGCATTTGACTACAGAAGTGAGAGAAGGTACTATAAGGCAATTGAATGCTTAAAATAGAATTTAAGCACTTTCGGTAGTGCATTTTATTTTTAAGATTCTGGTAGGCATCTGAGCTTTTCCAGAACAATAGCAATTATCCTTAAAGCACACCACATCTTACCCAGAATGTTGTATTTGTTTAGTCAGTGAATGACTAGAAATAAAGAGGCTCACCTTAGTGGAACTTTTGTGGAAAGGAAAAGTCCAGAAATAGAATCTGGACTGAGTAGTGTCTTCTGAAATGTTGACCTCATGCTCTCAGTACTAATGATGTTGATCATTTCATTGATCTGGTCTCTTTACAGTTAGCTGGACCCATCTTTCAGTCCCTTGACAAGGTATTCTCCACTATTTAGAACTAAACTTTTTATTTCAAAATGCACAATTTTATTTTATAGAGGATCTCTGCATACCTTTGTTTGAAGTATTATTTTAAAAATATCTTATTTTGAGTCTTTTAATCAAAACATATATAAAAATCATTGTAACTTTTATTTACATCCCACTTTCTTCACCAAGTGAAAGAGTGAAACAACAAAATATTTTTTTCTCATTTGGTTACTTTTTTAATGGTATTTTTTTTACTCATATGTGTTTAACTTATTATATAAAGAGACTAGTAATTCAAGCATCCTTGACCTTCTAAGATATCTTATTTTTCAAGGAGTCTCAGGCCTAGTTCTGAACATAATTCTAGCTAGGGAAGGCAAATCATTTGGTGTTTTCAACTTCTATACGTGGATTAGGTATAAAATTAGTCCTGCTATAATGGTTAGAGGCCTATTATAACATGCCCTCACAGAGAACTTCAGCCAGCCATAGGTTCCAAAATTCACCATTCTTGGTCAAATCAATATAACTTTTTATCTGCCTCAATTTTCTGAGATTTAAAGAAGCAGAAAAAAATAAGTATCAAGCACTTATAATTTTCCAGAACTGAACTAAAAGATTTTTTATACAGAGATTGATTTAATATTCAAATAATCCTATAAAATATTATAATCTATTAGAATTCTACCAAAGCAAATTGAGTTCCAAGCAAATTGAATTCCATGCAAATTGAAGTTCATAGAGAATAAGAAGAGAAAATGAATTAGATATCCCAAATCAGTTTGACTCTAATAAAAAAAAAATCTCAAATCCTAAACTAATCCTACCATGAACACTTATAATCCCCATATCTTAGACATAGGGGCTGGACAATGTCTACTGGCCAGAGACCAGCTATAAAATAAATGAATTTACCAGATCCATAATGTGGTTCCTCATCAGAACTTGACCATGACCAGCAAACACATGAATGTTCAATACACAAACACACTTAAATTGTACATCCCAGTCAAGACTGAGTTTGCCACATTCCTATATTAAGTTCATTAAATTAATGATTAGACTAAATATCACCATTTTGCTGTTGATGATTGTGTTTTTGTCCCTAAGTCTCAGGCACAGAGCCGTGGCTTCTCTAACTGGTCAAATCTGACTATTGAATGACCCTGATGCTTCCTGGTAAAGCCTAGAATGTCTTCTACATCTGTTATTGCCTCATAAAGTAGGAATTGAATTTCCTATACTTGATATAATTAGAGATATTTCATAAATCTTAAATTCCTCAATTAATGTTTCTTGATTTATGTAAAGTATTTGTTTTTAGTGATCTTAGTTACCTTAGTTATGCTTATCTAGTTATTCATAATTTCTGTATTTCTTAATTGGCCAGGCTGCAAAGCTTTCCTTTTTAAAAAGATTTTATTTACTTCTTAGAGGGAGAAGAAGAGAGGGAGAAGGAGAAAGGGAGAAACACTGATGTGAGAAGGCAACACTGATCAGTTGCTTTTCATATGTGCTTCGACTGGGGCTCCAACCTGCAACCTATGTATGTGCACTGACCAGGAATCGAAATGGTGACCTTTATCTTCTGGGACAGCACTCAACTAACTGCTCCACACCAGTGAGGGCTGCACAGCTCTTTTTATTTTTAATCTCTAGGCTTTTAAAACAAAAATTGGTGAGCCCTAGAAATGGATGACAGAGGTACTCCCTACTCAGGCTCTCATTATTAGGTTGACAAAACAAGCCATTTTATATGTTGGGAACTCTCATATCATACCAGGATGAAAGGGAAAAATTTTTGAGACTTTTATAGTAAGGGCCTCAAAAGAGAATGATTTTAAATTACTTAGTGTATGTATGAGGAAGAGACCTCCCCCCAAATGGAATTATCTTCCAAAGGGTGGGCCCCTTGTAGAACAGGCTTTCCCCACTAGGTGAGTGTTCTAGGAACCCATCTGTATCAGTGAACCAGCTGGTGTGGTTGTGAGAAGCTGTTCTAGGCCTCAGTGAATTTTTCTGATGACTCAACTTCTTTGCCCACTTCATAATGGGCGATTTACTATTAAAGTGATGAGTGTTTTTCATGAACCATTGGGACAGCGTTTCCCAAAGTATATTTTGAGACACTCAAGATTAGGGTTCCATGTCTAAATAAGTTTGGGAACAATTGGTATTATATTCTCCTTTTGTTGGTTAAAAATAAACATTATTTAGATAACTGAGAAGTTCTGAAATTTTTCTCCAAAAATCAAAAACAGAGGGAAGGGTATGATCTAATGTTATTTAGTCCAGAAGCTTCCAATCTGACTTGACTATGAAGCACTTTCTTCTTTCTATTCATATGCTACGGAACAAATGTTTTTGAAAAGAATATGCTAGAATCAGTAAAGAAATAAGAATGTTGAAACAAGTCTGTGAGGAAAAAATGTAGAATGTTTAACATCTGTACTAGCAACTTATAATTATTGGTACTTGGTGAATATTCCAGGGACTCTACAAACATTATTACATTTAAACTTCACAATAATCCTGTAAGATGGGTATTATAATTATCCCCAGTTTACTGATGAAAAAACTAGATGTTAGAGAAGTTAACTACTTTCCCCTAGATCACACAGCTAATTAATTAATAGCAGAGTTAGCCTCTGAACTCAGGTAGCCTGGCTCTAAGCATCTTATCCATAATACTACATTGTCTCCTAAATATTTCCTAAAGTTTTTCCAAAGTGTTTAGAAGGATACAAATGGATGACCTATGCAGTTGCAATTAAAAGAAGATAAAAGTTGATCACAATAACCTGGTATTGCATGTTCCATAGATTACAGAAGTTGGCAAACTACAGCTCGTAATCCCAGTCCAAGCTGTCATTTGTTTCTGTGAGACCTGTGAGCTAAAAAGTGTTTTGTATTTTTTTTACACTTTAAGTAGTTGAAAGTAAAGAATAATGTTTTATGACACGTGAACATTATATGAAATTAAATTTCAATGTCCATAAATAAAGTTTTATTGGAACATAACTGATTCCATTTGTTTACACATTATTTATAGATGCTTTTATGCTGCAATAGCAGAATTGAGTTAGAACAGACAGAATGGCCCTCAAAGCCTTAATTAAAAATTTTACTATCTGGCCCTTTACAAACAGAGTTTGCTGGCTCATATAAGAAAGGGCAGGTTCTCCAGAGAAAAATGAGGGTACAACTTACGGATTAAGTGCCACAGATAACATTATTATTATAAGATTATGCTGAGCTTGGGGAAAACTGAAACCTTCTATTTAGTTAATATAAGACTGCTATAAACGCTGGTATGAAGACTCAACACACAAGCAGGTATAGTTCAATTACAAAGAACAAAAACCATTCAAGGCTGCAAAAATAAAGGGCTGAAACTGCATTCTTTATGTTTTCAGGATATAGAAATCACAAGATTTAAGGAACTGAAGTGCAATCCTTCTGCAAAGCAGTCATCAAGCCTTTACTTTCCCTCTCTTTCTTACTTCATAGTCTCTTGTCTCTAATTTGCTTCTGCCTTTCTTTTTTCTCCACAGAGCATCTCTCTGCTCATTAATGTGCTTTCTCACAAAACTGTCTCCAAATGGCAGTCTCTACAAGCCAAAGGGCTGCATATAATGTTTTATTATGCAAACCACATTTATTAGAACTGGATAAAGTGAAGATTTAAAGCGCAAGGGAAGAAGCCAGTTACTGTAATTGGGTTACTAGGTGAGCACTACCTGCTCCATCTCTGGTGTTTTAACCTCGGACATGCGCAAAAGTGGGCACAGACATCAGTGCTTGTACCAAGTATCTCTTACTCCTCAATTTCCTTCTTACATTCCTGTTCTTTCTCTCCTACTTGGTACCAGACCCTGGAATTCTTTATCTGCTCCTTCCAGCTTGGCTCCACATTGCAAATGTGTGCCTCTCCCAGAGTTCCAGACAGAAATCCAATTGCTCCGCCTCAGAAAGACACATCTTAATCCAATTAGTTGCAACCAAAGAGCTGGTTCATACGCTCCATATCCCTTCTTCTGACCTGAATGAAAGGAGTCTAAGGAAGTCTTGTGTCCAAAAACAGTTTTTAATAGAGTTCCTACAATATGTCACCCCTTGATTTGCAAATGGCAAAGAACTGGGAGCCACCTCCTGGCTTTGTGGTAGGAAACTATGAGAAAGAAATAGCCACAATCTGGGGATTGTTGGAGATGGAAGGTCCACAGGGCAGATCCAGATTTCAGTGAGAACAAGAAGTAAAGGAAACATTTAGAGGTGAAGCAGGTTTTGATGATGAACCATGGATTTGAGGAAGCACTTTGGAAGGGAGTGGGAGAGTCAAAGGGAGATAAGATTAGAGCAGGAAATGGCTTTTGTACATTTATGTCCTATTAGAGATGCCTGCTATTTTCCCACCATTATGTAAGAAACAAAGTTATGTTAGAGAAACAAAGATCCCCAAAACCTGTCATGTGCTGTAACATGTCCCTCCATTGTGCGTGTCCTGAAAGCGTGCCTGGACCTCTCCAAGACTTCCTTTCCCCCATCTCCTTTATATTTCTTCATAGTATTTAATATGACTATCAGTCATATTACATATTTATGTGTTTTCTTTTATCTGTATCCCCTAGAAGAATGCAATCTTCAAGAGAACAGGACTTTGCATGTGTCCACTAATGCATTTCCAGTACCTAGAACAGTGCCTGGCACACAGTATATGGTCAATATAGATTTGTGGAATTAAGAAATGAATACATTAATAAATGTTGAATTCATACTTTATGATGCCATGTAGTAGCAGGATGGCTTACATGGGATAACTGGAATTTGATGACCAAGGAGATCCAGAATTGACAGTAAGTAAACAATAGAAGGATGATTAGAAAAGTAAAAAAAAAAAAAGTTATCAATTAGAGAAATGTGCAATGGAGGAAAATGGTGGGCCTAAGGAAGAGTGTAGCTACATGGACACAATTCCCCATGGGCCTTAGTGCCTGAATAGACTGAGGGTCAAGGGAAGCTTTCCTTGAACACATGGGGTTACTGGGAAGAACACTCAGTAAAGACAGAAACTCAAGCTTAGAGGGCAAACCACATTTATTGGAACTGGATGAAGTGAAGATTTAAAGCACAAGGGAAGAAGCCGTTACTGTAACGGGGTTACTAGGTAAGCATTATTTGCACCATCTCTGGTTTTTAAACCTTGGACATATGCAAAAGTGAGCATAGACATCAGTGATTGTACCAAGTATCTCTCACTTCTCAATTTTCTTCTTGTATTCCTATTCCTTCTCTCCTACTTGGTACCAGACCCTGGAGTTCTTTATCTGCTTCTTTATCTGCAAACCTTTCAGTGCCTCTCTGATTGGTGAGACATTAAGATTCCTTGATAACCTGTCTAGTCTTCCTTCTTGACAGGCAATTCACATCTAGTTGACTTCTGAGTCCTCTGCTGATCCTGACAAAAGATCCTCCTCTCTTCCTGAGTGATTCTCACCTGCCGAGCATGGACTGTGAACCTCTGAAACTGATGCTTGGAGTCTTACTTAAGACTTTTTTCACTTTTAATGGATATGAAAGAAGTCAAATCAGAATTCAAACTCCTTAATTTGCTAAAAATCCTTTTAGGTTGCAAAGTTATAGGATATATTCAAATGAGACTTGCCCATATCTTAGAATAAGGGCTAGAATACCTATGAAGTACAGGCCAAGAGATAGTAAAATCAGTTCTGCCTGTGAATAAGCCACACACCCACTTCCAGTTTATGTGAGAGATTTTCATTAGATTTGGGAGTGAGACTTTCCATGAAGAGAACTGTTGGGGTATTGAGGCTGTTTTCCTCTTCTGTCTTGGGAACAGGGTAAGGTAATGGCTCCTTATATTCAGCTAGGTGAAGGGGGTATCAATAAAACACTTTCCAGAGCTTTATATGAATCCATCAAATCTAAAGCACGTGGGAACTGTTTTTCAGTTCTGCTAGGAGAGGCCTAAGGTCAGTTCTGTAGGCCTGGGGCAAGACAGACAGAAATGTAACTGCCCTGAGAGCACGCTGCTGCTGCATTTCCATGAACAGGAAAGCCAAGATGCATGTACACCAGAGGCTGAACCTGGAAGCGACCTGAGGTTGACACAGTGGAATACTATGCAGCAGAAAGAAAAAAGAAGGAATTCCTACTTTTTGCGACAGAATGGATAGAACTGGAGACTACTGTGCTAAGTGAAATAAAACAGTTGGTGAAAGACAAATAGCGTATGATCTCACTTATAAGAGGAATATGATGAACAAAACAAACAAGCAAAACAGAGTCAGAGTCATGGAAACAGGGAACAGACTGACAGCTGCCAGAGGAAAGGGGAACAGGGAGAATGGTGGAAAGAAGCGGAAGGGATTAGTCAAAGAACATGTATGAATGACCCATGGACACAGATAACAGTGTGGAGATAGACTGTGGGAGTGGGGGGTGGGCTGAATGGAGGAGGGCAAAGGGAAAAAAATTGGCACAACTGTAATAGTATAAAATATCATTTAAAAAAGGGATCTTGCCAAAGTGATTAACAGAGGCAGAGGAGAACCAGTGGGAAGCCTCTGGGCTGAGAAGAGGATGCTCGTAAAAGGCCTGGCAGTAAGTGCTAAGGTATGCATCCTCCAGCAGAGGCATCTGTGAGAAAACCATGGAAGCTCCATATGAGTTTTTACAAAAGAAAAAGTAAAAAAGAAAAAAACCCAAAAACCCCTCAAACCAAGGTGATCACACTGTGTAAAAATTTTTATTGATTGATTTTAGTGGGAGAGGGAGGGTAGAAGGGAGGGAGGGCGGGAGGAAGGAAGGGGTGGGGAGGAGAGAGAGATTTGTTGTTCCACTTATTTGTTCATTCATTTGTTGATTCTTGTATGTGCCCTGCCTGGGGATAGAACCTGCAACCTTGCCGTATCAAAATGACACTTTAATCAACTATAATACCAAGCCAGTGCCAAGGTAATCATATTGATTACAGCTGTACCAACATCATAAGATTATGCCCATCTTTCTTTGTTCCTTCTCTCTTCAGGTTCTGAAGCTGCCTCCAGCAAGCAGGTAAAAAAGTAGTGCAAGAAATACTGAAAAGCTCATCCAGTGCCCTTTCACTATAGGCTTCCAGACCGCTAAATGTCCTCAGCTGAAGGAGCAGATATATCTGAAATCAAATAACATTTTAGATTTTTATCACTTTTACTGGACAAGATTCCTTCCTGCTTCATGAGAGTGCCCCCCCAATTTTTTATTATCTAATATGTGTATATATACCTCAGCACATGTGAACTAGGAGACAAGTATAATATTCATAGCAGCGTTGTTCATAACAGAAAAACAATGTAAATAACACACATTCTCATTGAAATGAAAATATAAAAATAGATTGTGGTATGTCTCACTGAATACAATGTTATATAGTGGTGAAAATGAGTAAAATACAAATATGTTTAATAATAAAAATGATTTATTGTTATACAATATTGAAGGGGAAAAAACAAGTTCTGGAAGACTACATACAGTATTTTTTCTCATAAGGCTAAAGAAAGTAAAACTGAACAATACATTTCAATATTTGCAAATACATTGGGTGATAAATTACAAAAAGGCAAAAACCTAAGATGCATACAATGGAGGGCTGTGCTAACTTTTAAGGGAAGCAGGGCGGGAGTGGATTAGGGCTAGTAGTAAGTTACTGGCAATGTTTTAGTTCTGTGGATGGGTGGATTGTAGAGATTTACTATATTATTAATGTAAATGCATGTAATATAACATAATAAAAAGACACATCCATGAAGACATACTAGATCATAAACCAAGAATTATAATTAATTTATTTTAATGGTTTACTTTAAAATAGAAAGGAAGGAAGAAAAAGAAAGAAATAAAAGGAAAGAAGAAAGGAAGAAGGAAAGAAGGGAGAGCAGGGGTGGGGGGGCGGGGAGGGAGAGAGGGAAGAAGGAACTGGCCTAACCCATGTGGCTCAGTGGGTTGGGCATTGACCTGCAAAGTGAAAGGTTGCTTGTTCAATTCTCAGTCAGGACACATGCCTGGGTTGCAGGCCAGGTCCTTGGTTGGGGGCATGCAAGAGGCAACTGGTTGATGTTTCTCTCTCATATTGATGTTTCTCCCCCTCTCTTTCTCCATACCTCTTGCTCTCTCTAAAAATCAATAAATAAAATTAAATGAAAGAAAGGAAAAATAAATAAGAAAGAAAGAAAGAAAGAAAGAAAGAAAGAAAGAAAGAAAGAAAGAAAGAAAGAAAGAAAGAAAGAAAAGAAAGAAAGAAAATTGTTAGTTCAGAGTTGTAGTTGATATTCCCAGTTATGGTTAAAGGAGAATGAGTCCACGAAGCAATTCAGTGAGCAGGCAGAAAAATAAATGTTCCTTTTTTCTTGTACCTAAAAGGCAAGCAACTTTTTCAAAGAGCAGTCTTTGCCCTAGCTCACACATGTGTAAGGGGAGAAGCTTTGACTGGCTGTTTAAAACATAGTAATAAGGTCTTGTCAAAGTCTAAGGGCGAGGTGAAGATGAAAACTAAAATGTCAAGGCTGTATTTGTATAAAACAAGTAGAAGTGATCTGAAGGTCTGAAAAGAAGGTTTTTTCTCATCAGTTTAATTATAGATCTTGATGTTAATGCTGATGTTCATAATTTTCTCTTTTTCAAGTAAAGGTTACTCTGTCATTGAATAAAGAATAGAGAGTGACCTGTCAAAGACAAGGCTCTGTGGTGGTTCTAAATGACCTGATTAGATGGAACTAGAGGCTCCAAAAAACAAAAGAAAGAAAAAAAATTGAGAGCTCCTGAAAGAAGACAACTCTCAACTTTACAAAGTGATTTTACATATAAAAAAATCCTATATTTGGGGTAGAAGCATTGGAACTTAATATTAAACAGTGTAGTTTTCTCCAGTATTTTTTATGTGCCTGAGAGGAAGATGAAAAGCTAAGACATACCTGAAATTGGTGGGATATCAGAAAGTGCATTAGTAATGCCTATCGGAACCTCAACTAAGAGAGATTTTAGTACTGACTGGAATTCCCATGGCCCCAGAAGCTTGTCTCTCTCACTCAACAGCAGACTGGGCACAAGATGTCTTGGTATCCATATGTTAGTAGAACTGAAAAATGGTGTGTGTCATTTAAGGGTAATGACAGTAGAAAGAGTTGGGAAACATATTTCATAGGGATTGGATAAGGCAAGAGTGAATTCTCAAATCTACTCTATAAAATCAGATAACTAATTAAGGTTCTTTCTTTTTGGTACCTCTCATTCTTTTGATACTGATCATCTTTCCCTGGGCTGCAAAGCTTGCTGAAGAGCAATTCTGCCTGGTCTGCATCAAATGTACAGATGTCTGCTTGTTTCCTTCTCCTGTTTTGTACTGGCTCCAAGATGCCATGTTCTAATGAGATTTGGAATTAATAGATAGGTCTCAGTCTGATGGCCTTGGGAAAATGGCTCACATGGTGGCCCTGGAAGGGGAGCAAAATGACTATGACATATCAATTAGTGATACATTCACAAGGATGGCTGCCAGTGAAAATTGACTTAACAAATTGGAGATAACTCAAATCAATACAAAAGCTATTCCTGGAGCATTTGTATGAAGTACCTGATCAGACTATGTAATGGAGCAGATGGGTTCTTAGAATTGGCAAGTGGCACCTGGAGACAACTGTCCACTTTCTCTTCTAGTCATTTAAATTTGAAATTGGGGCAGAGGAAAAGTAAAAAAAAAAAATGCCAAAGATTACCTGGTTTCAGAGAATGTTGTTGATCATTCCTTTAATTCAACAGGTTTGCCTTGGTAGTGCCACAATATGGTCAGTGACCATGTAAGATTAACAACACTGACCGATAGGGAGGCCTTTACGGGCACTGAAGTGGTTTTCAAATGGGTACTAATATTTAGTCACCATATAAGGAAATGTTTGAGTAGCTCTGCAAGTCTCTCACATTGCCTTTTTTAGATACCCATTAAAGAAAGTCACTGGAATCATTTATAGCCTTGCTAAAGTAATATTGTTTAGCAATCTGTCAAGGCTGGAGTTGGTTGAAAGGTCTGACTGGGGAAACCAAGCTCCTTCAGATACATGCTAAAGTACACATGGTGAAGAATAAAATCACCTGTCACAGGAAATATCCTATGGGCTGCTTGAAGTGATTGCAGTAGTTTGTCCCTTATGGCCAGCAGGACAGAAGCCACACTTCATTTCTTCCAACCCCTTATGCGCTTTAAGTAGAAAACATAGGACTGGGCAAACGGGTAAGAGACAGACTTACTCCTGAGATAGGAAAACAGTTTGTAGGGGTCAAAACAGACTCAAAAGACTACCTTAATTTACAGCCTTCTTAGCTATGCATCCTTTCAATAAACCATTGCATTTATAAGAAAGAGCATCAGTCAGGTAGTTTGGACATTGTAATTGCTTTGTAAGAGTTGCTCAGGCAGGCAGAAGAGGGATTTGACTGGTATCAGCTATTAAACCTGGCAAGAAATGTTTATGGAGGTTGCAGAAAGGGTGAGAGTCAGGGGGTTTCCAAAACACAGACATAGTGTCTGGAAAGCAGATCACTCAGAAACAGAAAACTTTCTTGAGTCAATTTATCATGTTTATTTTTCACACAAATGTCTAGTTTCATTCAGTGAATATAGAGGAAACTCAATAGATAATTGTACAATGACTGATACCTTTCCTCAGCACAGTGACTAACTTATAATACCTATCAGTGATTTGTTCAATGTTGAATGGCTGGCTAAGAATGATCCTTGGTTTACTTGTGAGATTATGGTGAAAAGTGAATTAGAGACTTCCAGGTAAATCTTGCCTCTGACTGAGGCTGGGACAGAAATGTCAGAATTACCTCCCAGGTTGTTCTTGTGTGTGTGCTAGGTTAGAATAACTCTTACAGGAGAACCAGGAAAGGTTACAAGCAAACAGTTTTATGTATATTTTCTTCTGGTGAATGGTGTTGGAGAATGAGGGAGGCATTTTGTTTTACTTTATGCACTTTTGTCCTGTTTGCTTTTTCTGCCAAGGGCATGCACGTGTTAAAAAGTGAATTGGTATCTAAAGACTGTGAAAAATTTCTGTGTTCTGGCTGAGATGTTCTTTGCAGGATCAAAGGTTGGTTTTTTTGCCTGCTTTTTGTCTCTCTTTTCCTACTGACCTTGAGAATACATGTATTTCACCAAATGCTCTTAGAGGAAATGGAAAAATTGCGTCTGAAATTGGGGTTTCAAATATTTAATAGTTGAGCAACATATACTTTCTAATGTTTCAACTGCTTTGGAAAGCACTTTTCAACCTGTTCGTGGCTTAGATTTATAAATACATTGCTGTAGTAGTGATTTAAAAATCAAGTTGTTAAACCAATTAATTGGGTTTGTGAAATAATGGGAAATATTTTGTTTTGGTTGAGGTTTTCTAGTCTTGTATGTGTACTTCAACTCAATAGCTTTTTATGCAATTTCTACTAAGTGCAAAGTACAGTACTAAATATTCTATGATGAATCAGATATAAATGCTGCCCTGTAGTAGTTTACTTGTAATTGGTGAAAGAATACAAGGTTAAATAAGCGCTACTTAAAAGTGAACATTTAAGATCTGTAGGGTACAAAAGAATTAGTTAGAGCATTGGTTCCCAACCTTTTTGGCACCAGGGATGTGTTTCGTGGAAGACAGTTTTCCATGGACAGTGGTGGGGAGCTGGAGGGGTTTGGGACAGCAGGCAAAGCTCAGGTGAGGTGGTAATGCCAGTGAAGTTTCGATCACTCGCCCCATTCACCTCCTGCTGTGGACCCTGGTTCCTTACAGGCCAGGGACCAGTATTGGTCTGGCCCAGGGGTTGGGAACCCTTGAGTTATAGTGCTAAGGAATATCTACCTGAAGATAAAGTCTTTTCCTGGAATGCTTATTAGTCCCATGATGATAATATACTTCATTTCTTGTAATGAAAAAAAAAAAGTTAAAATTAAAGTTTGTGGGAGATAGAAATAGCACTGGGCTGGTTATCCAAATATCTGGATTTCAGTTCCAGCTTTCTCTGGGTCAGTTATACTGGGTATATGCTTGGCAATCACTAGGTTTAAGGCTCCTCACTAGTCCACTCTCCTGATGCAAGTTTAAGGATCATTACTGAATCATTTAGCTGTGCTGTAGTCAGTCACGTGATGTAGGGAAGGTCCAGTGTTCTGAGTCTGTAGGCTTTCGAACCTTTTGGAATTTATCCCTATGGTGTCTTCTCTTTCTTCCCTATAGGTGGGTATTAAATAGCTTCACGGACTTTTAGCTTAGAAATAAGTAATTGAGAGCCAATGAGAATCTTAGCCCTTCCAAGGAAAGGAGACGTGAAGAGTAGCTTAGTCCTACAGGTACAAATAAGCCCTTAGGTGAGACTCCCTCTTTCCTATATCCTTTACTCTGGAATTGTTTTCAGCACTAAGATGCTAGGTTTAGATCACAGAATTGTGAACTGGGTGTGGTCTAGTGGGGAAAATGTGTCTGGACAAGGTCAAAGAGCTGGCTTTTGATTTTATTTCTAGGCTCATTCTTTTTGGGTCAAAACCTTGAGAGCTCTATGGGGCTTTGTCTAACCAAGAAATTCTAATGTATTGTCTAAGGAAAATATCTCCTTTAAGTAAACAAAATAATTTTGCCTTGATGATTGTCTTTATTTTCCTTGGGAACTCGGGGCAGTGACATTTTCAGGATGAAAAGACGGGTCATTTTTGGTTTGTTTCTCACAGAGAAATGAAATTTATTTAGTTCTGATTTATTTTCTTGTGTCATTTTCCTTTTATGTTGTTTTTATAAATATATTTGCTCTGTAATTTTTCCCAAGCAGAGGTACCAAAGCACTGGTTATAGGAAAATACATGTATCTTTTTTGATTTCAACTTATAACCTAGGGATAGCTGCTGGCAACTCAGGAGATTAGTGCATATTTTATTTAAAAGTCATAAGAGAGTTCATTAGTTAAAGGATTAAATAATTAAGTGGATATTTGTTGTGCCCTCTCCGTAATGCTATCTTCTACATTACACTTTCACCTGGAGCGTCTGTCTTGAGGCCCTTGCGTCCCTTGGGGGTTCAAGGATGGTTTTCAAAACACTACAAATCCCCTGAATTTATATGCAAACTTTGTGTATATGCTTATCTAAATATATGAATTTATAGGTTTGATACAATTTCCAAAGGGCCCTGTATCCCCCTAAATATAAGAAAAACTAATTTAATATCTAAATTCTCTAGGTTCACAGGCCTTATATTTTCTTTTCTTGGTGTCTGTTAGTACAAAAATCAGTGTACAGTATAAAATTCATCAGTGTGGGTTAAGTCAATACCATAGACATTTGTGGAATGCCTATTTTGATTCAGGCGAATTGTTTATAGGCTAGGCAAATAATGTTGAAGATAACAGAATGGGAAAGGAGGAGCTTCTGGTCTACTTGAGGAGCTCATCCTCATCAGCCATGTACTAAATGAAAATTTCAAGGAGAGGAATAGATACAGAAGCATGAGCTGCAAACAAAATTTTCCAGGCTATTCTTTAGGATCAAAATTGCAAGTTTCAAAATTATGAGGCTGGTGGAAAAGATAAATAGATGTACATTAAAGAAATACATTTGAAGATGAGATGAACTCCTTTCTAAAAAGAAATCTCATTAATGTGAACTAAGAAGCAGTGAAAACTATGTGAATTTCAGAATATCTGTAACTTTGAGCCAGATCTTGAAATGTGAGAAAATCTCAGTAAGAACAAAATAATAAGACTTGGAAGTGCTAAGTATAAAAGTTTTTTGGTTTCTTTTTTAAATGATTGACTTTAGAGGGAGAGAGATCAAACCCATAACCTTGGTTATTAGGAAGATGCTTATCAGAAAGACTAACCAACTGAATAAACTGGCTAGGATCCTGAGTAGGAAAGTTTTGACAATGGAGAAGGGAAGGGAAACAGAGTTTTCTGATTTTCTCTTCTAACAATGAGAGTTTCCAGATAGGGGAATATGTAGTATAAGGATCAGGTACAAATATGTTAATGCAGAACTGCAAACAAAGGACTATGTAAGTCAATCTATCTGAGTTGGCTGACAATAACTTCACAATTGTTTAGCTCTACAATAAATTCACCCTCTTTTTGTTCATATTCAAGCCTATTATAAACAGTATGTATAGTTTTACTGGATTCAAACATGTAGATGGAATTTCCAAGAGCCAATTTAATATAATCAATATATTTTTTTAAAGTACACACCCACTTATCAAAGCTTCCCAATTAAAACAAACAAACAAACAAAACAAAACAGCTCATTATGAGAAAAGTACTTAGAATTTCTGGAATATCCTGACAGGGCTGGTATTTGTCATTTAGGCTGACAATTCAGCTTGAATGATA